GGAGAGCACAGTGCCAGGGGAGGGGAGGGCAGGGAGAGCACAGTGCCAGGGGAGGGTGGTGGAGAAGTCTCCTCAGCAGTAAGATGTGAACATCTGCTCTTCCCTCTGCCAGCCGGAGAGCCTCGTATCTGGACCCGCACTGGGCGGTTCATGAAGGAGAAACTGGGAAGGGCCTCGCTCAGGGCAGGACGAGCCTCCTGCTGGGATGAGAGTGGACCCCCAGGTGCAGACCGAGACCCAGGGCAGCCCTTCCCCACGCCCCCGTCGTGCTTTGGTCTGGTGTCAGTTGTGGTAAATACACATCACCTAGAATTTAGCATTTAGCCTTTTTCATTTTAACCAATTTTAGGTGCACAGCTCTGTGGCACTGAGTCCCTTCTCTGCTCCACAGCCTTCCCCACTCCATCCGGAGCTCCTTCATCTCCCCAACCTGCACTGGTCGTTGGCGGTCTCAGGCATAGAAGGCTGTCCAGGCAGGACCTCTGTTCCTGTGGTACCAGGTGAACCCAACTGCAAAGGAGCCTGGGAAGAGGATGTGGAGACCCCTCAAACCAGCAGGGAGCTCCCAGACATCTAGAGCAAGGGCTGCTCTGCCTCTGGGAGACAAAGGGCAGGAGGAAGGAAGTGCTTTCCAAGCAGCGGCCTGGTTAGCCAGGGCGACCTGCTGGCTGGGGGCCCCTCTGCCATTTCCTGACCTGGGTCGGCCCAGCAGGCCTTGAGGATTTCAGTAATTGTGCCCAGATACACCCCGAGGACTGTCTCAGTCTCACCAGGATGATTATAATTCTTTAGAACGTGTTAAGGATACGTCCCACTTCACTACTTTTCCTTCTCAGATTTCTAGGTGTACCGCAATTTCACTCACTTAAGGAAATGTAGAATCAGTTGAGCACATTTGAAAGAAAAAATCATTGGGATGAAGGCGTCATTTCATTTCTCCATCAGTTCACGGAGAACTGACGTTTCTGACGTGTTGTCTTCCTTTCCAAAAGCATCTCCATCGGCCCAGCCAAGTCCTCTTGGACCCTCTCAGAGTGGCAGTCACGATGGCTCATGCTTCCTGCACACTTACCAGCACGTGGTTCCCACCCGGTCCCGAGAGCTTGCTGTGAGCCGACTGGCTTCACACGGGGCTGCACTGTGTGTGTGGAAAGTACCAGCACCTCCCCTTCACAGAGAGGAGTGACAGCACGAGAGCTGGGTTGATGTTTTCCTCATGGAAGTCCTGTGTCCATTCTCCTGGGATTCTATGATTTCACTGGAAGTGTGAGTGAGAGGGCTTTTAGGACACCGATTGCAAGGACATGCTCTTTTGACCTGGTCATCTGGTGAAGGATATAAACACATTCCAAATGTTCCACAACCACATGTCTGGAATACGTTCCACTTTGTAAGGTGTAGTATTCCTTTAATGTTCTGCTGCATTTTTAAAAATACATTGTTATTGATTTCAGAGAGGAAGGGAGAGGGAAAAAGAGCTAGAAACATCAATGATGAGAGAGAATCATTGATCGGCTGCCTCCTAAACCACCCCCCATCCTTCCTCGGGGATCGAGCCCACAACCCGGGCATGTGCCCTTGACCAGAATCAAACTTGGGCCAATGCTCTATCCACTGAGCCAAACCATCTAGAGCTGTTCGGCTGTATTTTGTGTACAATGCTTTACTTAAGGTTTGTGCATTAGTGCTCAGGAAAGCTATTTCCTGCTGCCTTAGCAGGTGATATTGGGTTCATATCACCAGAAATGACTGTGAGGCCTTCATGCCTTCTGTTCACTCTCACAACATAAACAGCACCAGACCAGTCAGAGCAGGAAGGTCTTTAAAATCAATCTATTATGTGCCCCTGTAACTGGGCTCTTTTTTGCTTGCTGTTGTTTTTGGAATAGCTTTCACAACATAAAATAGTACTAGTCACAAGACTGTGATCTGAGAGATACTGAACCAATAAGACGGAACTGAGAGTTCAAAACTCTCTCAGGATGAGTGGCTTTAGGACAACAAAGATGGCATTTCATTTTAAAGGGAAAAATGGTGTGGGGACAGGAACAAAGCCATTTGAAAACAATCTCTATCTTAATCTACACAAAGACAAATCTCAGATGATTTGAAATTTATATGAGAAAGTCAAGCTATTAAAGTTCTAGATGAAAAATATTGGGTCTAGTCAAACCTTGGTCCTCAAACCAGGTTGTTTATAGAAATAATGTCTCAAGTTGTGGAATTTCAGTTCTCTACCTCATAACCCTTTCTTGCTGATACAACAGCATGACAAAAAGTGTCCCTCAGGCCACAAAAAAAGGAGAGGATGTGAGTCAGTTTACCACTAAACCTTGTTTGTTATCTCAGGAAATTGTGCCATGAATATTTTTTAGGGGAGATGTGTGTGTGTGTGTGTGTGTGTGTCTGTGTGTGTGTGTGTGTGTGTGTGGAAGGGGGTTGCTTTTGTTGCTGATGAAATGGACAATTAGCACCATTTTAAAACATAAAGAGGCATCAAGAGTGCTACTGTTGCTAAGGGTGTGAAAGAAGCAATGACCACAGGCAGTTGAAGAGGCAGGAAAACTGGCTGATTTGGGTGAAGGAAAAACAGTTCGCCCGTGGCAGCATTTCCCGGCAGTGACATGTGACCAAGCGAAGATGCCACAGGCTGCCCTGAAAGACACCCCTGGACCAGTGCTGAAGGGGGTGGTTTGATAAATGTAAGAAAAGACGTGTTTGTTCATAGGTTAAACGGTGCGTTAGACACGTACCGTATATAAGAAAGGTTAAAACGGAATCATTTTGGAGTCTGGAATGAGTTAATTCCATTTACATTATTTGTAATAGTAAAATATGATTCAGTTTTCAAACAAATCACTCTTGAACAGCCTTCCAGAATGAATGAAGTTTGAGAACCAAGGTTCTACTGTAAATCATTTTCTAATTTTTCTTTGGAAATCAAGTAAATTTGATTCATCAGAATCTGAATGGCAAGTGTGTCCAAAAACTAAAAGATAACTGTGAAACTTGAGGAAAAAGCATGAACAACAAATATGAGACAGTAGATGATGTCCTGGTTATATAAGGTTCTTCAAATTCACTTAAGGAAACCAGCAACCAAATAGAAAACAATGGGCCAAGGAAACACAGAAACTTCCTCAAAAGAAAGACAGATGGCTCTAAAATTATGAAATGGTGCTCAACCGCACTAAAATAAAAAAACTCATGAAAATTAAATTTTATCCTATCATATCATAGATTACTCAAAAGTTTGACAATAGCCAGTGATGGTAAAAGTGTTCAGCAATGACTTTTCTCACAGACTTTTGATGTACATAAATTTAAATATATATAATTTTTTACCCAAAATTTTTACTTCCAGGAAAAAGTACTAAGAAAATAACTGCATATTTGTGCAAAAATCCATCATAAGTGGTCCAAGGCACTTATTATATATCATTGTTTATATTCACAAAAAATTTGGAACTACCTTAAATATTTATCAATAAGGATTTAGCTAAATAAACCATGGTGCTCTTATATAATTTATTTTTATTAAGTCATTAAAAATGATCAAAAGGTTCATCTCTATTGACATGGGAAGTTGTCCACAACATATGATTCAGTGAATTAGACAATTTATAAAAGTTACAAAACAATGCCTATACTATGATTTTATGTATACAATGGTGCTGGTGGTTTGTGATTTTTGTTTTTGTGGGTTTTTTTTGGTATCAGGTAAGGGTAGGGTCTGGATCAGGATGGTGTAGAGAGAATTATAGGACCCCGACCAGACTATCTATAGTGATTATATCTTGGTTTGGGGGTTTCAAGTACTTTTAACTTTCTTTTTATTCCTTTCAATACTGGTTGATTTTGTTTTTATATCAAACAAGTTTTAAAAGCAGAAATAAAAAGTTTAATTTTAAAGAATAATATATTCACTTTTCAAAGATTTAATTCTAAAATCCTATATATGCCCACCGGCATGGCTCAGTGGTTGAGCATCTACCAATGAACCGGGAGGTCATGGGTTCAATTCCCGGTCAGGGCACAAGCCCGGGTTTTGGGCTCGATCCCCAGTAGGGGGTGTGCAGGAGGCAGCCAATCAATGATTCTCTCTCATCATTGAATTTTTTATTTCTTGCTCCCTTTCCCTCTCTGAAATCAATACAAATATATAAAAAAATAAAATAAAATCATATATATTTAGGTTATTTGAATTTCAAATGTGATTTAAATTCTTGAAATTTTAGGAAAATTTAAATTGATATGCATGCGTGTGTGTGTGTGTGTGTGTGTGTGTGTGTGCGCGCGCGTGCACGCATACAGATATTAAAAAGGAAATGTTTAATCAGTAAATTTGATGAAATTATTTTAGTAAAATTTAACCAACTTTGGAGAATTCTGGAAATTTTTAAACCATGGGTGACTGTGACTTTAAAAATGTGCCCATTTTTTTGTTTTTCTAAGTCAGGGGTTAACAAATTAGGAGCCTTGGGCTATATTCGGTCTGCTGTCTGTGAACTGAAAATGGTTGTTACGTTTTTAAATGGCTGAAAAAATTAAAAGAATATTTCATGACAAGTAAAATGATAGGAAATTCAAATTTCAGTGTCCATCAATAAATTTTTGAATTAGATTAATAAAATTTTTTTTTCTCTCTCTCTTTGTCTCTCTCTCTCCCTCTTTTTGGTTCTAGAAGTACCTATATAATATTCTTGATTTTTCATTTTGGCCCCCAAGCCCCAAAATATATATCATCTGGTCTTTACAGAAAAGAGGACCAGCAGCCAGACACGCAAGTCACCTTCGCGTGCAGCAGCCTCCCCATCTCTCCTTGCTGGCTGAGGATGGCTGTAGGGAAAGGAGAGGTAGCGGATGTTTTTGGCACCGGCCTGTAGGGAACAAGCAGAAATAAAAGCAGAGTTAGCTACTGCGATTGGAAGTTCCACGTGGCAAACAAAGTGAAGGACACAGACTTATACTGTGGCAGGTTTCTTGGATCATTGGCTTTCAGTTATTTTTGTCTAAAAAACCCAGAATGCTTCAGCCTTTAATATGCTGTGTATTTGCTTTCCTTGTCATGATAAAATAGACCATTACAAATCTCTCAAAGTTATTCCCACAGCCTCACTGAGATTAGGGTGGAGAGGAGGGTCTACCCCAGACGCAACTGCATCCATTGGTCGCTTTGATAGGGCCTCAAATAGAATAGCTCAGATGCACAGCGGGTGATATGGAAATAAGGTCCACGTGTCTTGGCTAAAACAACTTCTTCGCGGGAGAGGTAAGCTTCCTAGAGCCAGGGGCGCTGGTTCCCGGAGGTGCAGGCTCCTTCAGTCCTGGCCGCCATGGAGTCCGGTCCAGACTCAAGGCACAGCGTGCGCTGCAGTCACTTACCCCTCCTGGAGGAGAGAGCCCTTGGTTCCTAAGGTCCTGGACTCCCAGAGGGATACCTGAGCATGTGTCCTGTCCCCACTGCGTTTGCATCTCTCTGCCAACAAGGCAGTGGTTTTGTTTGTTTAAGTGTCAGTGGTAGTCACCCAGGAGGCCCTGTCCTGGGATGAGCCAGCTCTTAGGTGTGTCCACCTTACAAGCCACCCCTTACCGGCTTTCCCCATGGCAGGCTGTGGCCTTTCCTCATACTCTCGCGTAAGGTATTCTGGCGGCGGATCAGGATCTCTTTAGCCTGCTTCTCAACTGTTCGGGGTTTGAGGTTGTATTTGTTATAGGACGGTGTCTGCAGAAAGAGGAACATCAAATACGAAAGAAATCTCCAGTTTAACTGTCAACCTCAGGAGCTATAAAAGTATCACAAATTGAGACTACTAGAGCAAGAAGACACCATGCAAGCCATCTGAGCATTTTCCTCAATTACAGGGGAGCAGGCTGTGGCCCCCAAAAGAAAAATTTGTGACTGAGGCCACCCCTATTGGGCTCCTGTGGTTGGAGTGGTGCCTCCTGGCTCACAGAGTGGTGCTCTCCACCTGTCCTGTCCCTCTGTTACCCTTGCAGGTACCCCCAGTACTCACAGACTTGTGCTGCCCCATATACACACTTTCTTTCCTAGTGTTTTTTATACTAGGCCAGTGGTTACTGAATTTAATGAATCAGGAAAATGTCAGAACTCTGTTGGGAATTTTTATAAGGTTGCTATTTTTTAATTTTGCCAACTAAAGATACATTTAAAAAATCAACCAAATACATCATCTTAGATAAAGAAACAGATCCAGAGACAGAGAAGCATCAACCAGACCATCAAACCTCAGAGGGAAGGCAGGGGAGGGTGGAGGTAAGGGGGAGAGATCAACCAAAGGACTTGTATGCATGCATATAAGCCTAACCAATGGACACAGACACCTTGGGGGAGTGAGGGCATGAGCGGGGGTGGGGTGGGGGGGTCAATGGGGGGATGAGGACACATATGTAATATCTTAATCAATAAAGAAAATAAAAAAAGAATAGTCCTTCAAATTGAATCAATTTAGCTTTATGAAAAATTACTTCCTTGTCCTTATCAAGGCCAGTAAAAACCTCTGTTGAACCATAGACCAACATCAGTCCTCCGATGTTTACAAAGTGCTTAACTGGAACTTCTTCTCTCCTTTCTTTTCACTCAAAGTTACCAGTGAATATCCTTTTTCCTGTGGGTTAGTAGGTTTCTTAAATAATAGGATCAGGACTGAAGATGCGATCACTCTTGGCTAACCAATGCTTTAATAGAATATTCGATTTAATAGCAAAAGAGCAAATGTCTATGTGCCAGGCGCCATGATAGACATGAAACTTAAAAAAAACGGTTAAGTTAGAATTATGATCTTCAAAGGCTTCTAGTCTACTGGGGGAGTTATACAAATAAGTATATACTGTTATGTGCTCAGGTAAGTGAGAAGATGTTGGGGTGTGCAGGGAGTATGGAGGACAGGCAAAAGGCAATCAGTTGTCTAGTGTTTGTATTTTAGTGTATATACATCCAGTTAAGTATATTTGTGGCCTTTATCATCTATTAACTAAATCACACTTACTTAAGTCTCATAAAAGGACAATTGTCTAAAAATAGTTTCATAAAAAAGGCATAGGTTGAGGGGGTGGGGTGGTCAAGGAAACAAAGGTGAATTAGGAAAGCCAGCTTTCTCTTTATGCTTATGTGAGAACTTTGACAGCCACTCTTGACAAATTAACCAATCTGACAAGAACTTGTCCAAAAAGTTGAATTTTAAAGATAGTTTGAAATGTGGGTTTTTATCCACCATCACTATTGATGGACTTCAACCTAATTATCTATATTATAAAAACCCAGTGGCCCTAATGCCATAACATCCAAAGACTGGTGGGGGTGGGTAGGGTGTGAGTGCAGCGGGGCACGTGCAGGTGGGCGGGGCCATGTGATTTCACACCTGGGCTTCTAGTATTTTATATGTTGAGACATTAAAGAATGACATATAACACTATCATAAAATATTTTTAAAACTAGAGGCCCGGTGCACAAAAATTTGTGCACTCGGGGAGGTTGCTCAGCCCGGCCTGTGCCCTCTCGCAGTCTGGGACCCCTCTGGGGATCTCCACCTGCTGGCTTAAGCCCGCTCCCCAGGGGATCAGGCCTAAGCTGGCAATCAGACATCCCTCTGGCAGCCTGGGAGACCTCGGGGGGATGTCCACTTGCCAGCGGGGAGCAGGCCTAAGCTGCAGTTGGATATCCTTAGTGCTGCTGAGGAGGTGGGAGAGGCTCCCGCCACCACCCCTGTGCTGGCAGCCATCAGAACCCTCACACCTAGCAATAAAGAATCCACCAAACAACTATTAGAAACAATAAACAGATACAGTAAAGTTGCAGGATACAAAATCAATGTAAAAGAATCCATTGCTGCAGTACAACCAGCATATGCTACAAGGTGCGCAATGACTGTTTGGTATTTTGATGCAGATAAGAGAGCCCGAGCTAAAGTAAAATATCAAACAGGTGTAAAAGGTGTGAGGGTTCTGATTCGATCAGTAAAGACATCTTGTAGAGAGACTTTGATCCAGCAATACCCTCCTTCACCTCCAATGACTGTTGACGCTGTTTGTTAACTTGTGACTACAAATAAATGGGATAAAGAAAAATAGACAACCAGTTGGTATTTTAATAAGGAAACAGAAACAACCTTTTTGTGTTGCATCAGAAAGAAGATTTGATCGTGTGGCTTTGTACTGCATGACTGACTCCAAACCTGTGATTGCTTATGGAAGAATATAAGCTACCAGCTGAGAATGGTCTCTACCCCTGGACCTGATAAGTGCCCTAGGTAGCATTGTTTCATTCTTACATTTTGTCAGATCTGCCATCTAGCTGAGTTCATTTAATCTCTCCCTTTTTTTTATATAGTCAAGTTTGAATTTGAAGTAATTTTTGTAAAATCAGGTACAATTTATCAAAACTGAATTGAGAAAAAATTACAGCATTGTCCCCCAAAATAGCATCAATCTAGTTTTGTAAACCTCTTCGTACTATTAAATTTTGCCCTAAAAAAAGGTCCATTGCCTTTTTGTATGCTAACAACAAAACTTCAGAAAAAGAAATTAAAAAAAAAATTCCTTTTGCAATTGCAACCAAAAGAATAAAATACCTAGGAATAAACTTAACAAAGAACATGAAAGGCCTATACACTGAAAATTACAAAGCATTATTAAAAGAGGTTGAAAAAGACACAACAAAATGGAAAAATATTCTGTGTTCATGGATTGGAAGAATCAACATAGTTAAAATGGTCATATTACCCAAAGCAATATACAGATTTAATTCAATCTCCATCAAAATCCCAATGTCATTTTTTAAAGAAATAGAATAAGAAATTATCAGATTTGTATGGAACCACAAAAGACCCTGAATAGCCAATTCAATCCTGAGAAAAAAGTACGAAGCTGGAGGTATCAAATTATAATATTACAGAGCTACAATAATCAAAACAGCATGGTATTGGCAGGGAAACAGACACATAGATCAATGGAACAGAATAGAGAGCCCAGCTATAAAACCACATGCATATGGACAGATAATTTTTGATAAAGGAGCCAGAAGCACACAATGGAGTAAAGATCGTCTCTTCAATAAATGGTGCTGGGGAAACTGGAAGGCCACATGCAAATGAATGAAGCTGGACTACAGTTTGTCCCCATGTACAAAAATTAATTCAAAATGGATCAAAGACCTGAATATAAGACCCAAAACAATAAGTTACATAGAAGAAAATATAGGTACCAACCTTTTGGATCTTGGTCACAGAGAACATTTTATAAACTTGACCTCAAAGGCAAGGGAAGTAAAGGCAAAACTAAATGAATGGGACTATATCAAACTCAAAAGCTTCTGCACAGTAAAAGAAACTGACAACAAAACACAGAGGCAGCCACCAGATGGGAGATGATATTTGCAGACAGTAGCTCCAACAAAGGTTTAATTTCCAGAATATATAAAGAACTCATAACACTCAACACCAAACAAACAACCCAATCAAAAAGTGGGTAGAGGTCATGAAAATACCATACACCTCTCCAAGAAGATATATGAACAGCCAATAGATATTTAAAAAGATGTTCAATCTCACTGGCCATTAGGGAAATGCAAATCAAAACTACATTGAGATACCACCTCACACCTGTTAGAGTGCCCTTATCAAGATAAGCAATGACAAGTGTTGGAGAGGCTGTGGAAAGGGGACCTTCATTCACTGCTGATGGGAATGTAGATGGTACAGCCACTATGGAAAACAGGCTGGTAATTCCTCAAAAAATTAAGAATTTGACCCAGCAATCCCACTCCTGGGTATACACCTGAACACCTCAAAACCATGCATTCGCAAAGATATATGCACCCCTGTGTTCACTGCAGCATTATTCATGGTGGCCAATACATGCAAACAACCAAAATGTCTTGCGATAGAGGACATGGTCCATATACACAATGGAGTACTACTCAGCCATAATAAAGGATGAAATAGCACCATTTGCAACAACATGGATGGGCCTTGAGAACATTATGCTGAATGAAATAAGGCAGTCAGAAAAAGCTAAGAACCATATGATTTTACTCATATGTGGGATATAAACCTGAAACTCATGAATACAAACAGCAGAGTGGTGGTCGCCAGAGGGAAGGCGGTTGGGGGTGAAGGGAGCCCTAATATATGGTGATGGAGGATCCAAGGTGGTGGCCGACAGGACAGCAGTGAAGAAGAGAGTGTGAGTGAGGGAGGTAGCGAGAGGGGAGTGTGTGGACATGTGGGGCATGTGTGTGTGTGAGTGAGGGACAGTTATATTCCACAGGACTGTCGGGGGCTGGTGGACCAGGCTCCCCTAGCTGGGCAGCTTCTACTGCTGCTGAAATCTCTCTTGGAACAGCTGGCTCTGCCACAGAGACCGCACCATCTTGAAGGGGAGAGTGGCTGTGACTGGAAGCCCAGCCTCACCTCCACCCGGGGAGACCTGGGACACCACCTGGGACCCTACAGCCACATCAGCCAGGGACCAGCTGCCTCTGCTGTGAACCCACGAACACCAAGACTTCAGCCTCCCTGGCTACAGGCTCCTAAAAAGTTTGTCCCGGGGGGGGGGGGGGAAGGGGGGGGGAGACAAAATGGCAGCCAAATATGTGGTCGGGTTCTGAGCCTTCTCATAGAGCAGATAGAAGAAACAGCTGAATCGAATAACATCCACCCATAATTGGCAAATTAAACACAGCTGGAGAGACAATCCATGAACAGA